TGCATTTCGCGCACTCGACACGCACGATCTCCGCAGAGGGTTGCACTTTCGGTTGACGCTGTTCGTCCCGCACTCCGCCTTTAAGAGAGAATTTATAAAGTGGGGAAATGTTTTTTCATTAGGATATCTCCCGTGCTAGTTTTCCATACTCACACTTGCCTGCTCATTGCATGCTTGCATACGCACCCTTGCATATCATGGCATACTCACCCTTGCATACTTTGACACGGGCATACTTCGCACTTGGATGCTTTCGCTCTTCCAGTGTGTGTGTGTGTAAGTGTGGAAGTGTCAGTGTGTAAGTGTAAGTGTCGAAGTGTCAGTGTTCAAAGGATTTTCCGGAAGAACCCTTCGCAATGCTTTCGGGAAAAAACAGGTGTTCACCTCAGAACTTTGTGCTGGTGTCTTGCTTTGAGTGTCTTCTGAGGCTTGGGCTGAACAGCCTTGGGTTCGTGAACATCATGGCTGATGGGAACCTCGTCCCACCGAACGTGGGAGCCGCACGTCGAACGTGGGGAACAAGGGAGGCAACTCTTCCCCTTGTAAAGAATGCGAGATGGTCTAACAGTGTGACAGTAAAGCCTTCTTCATATGAAAAACAGGCGAATCACGAGGATGAAATCAGCAATCAGAGTGGCGCTTCACTGTCAAACACCAGCAATTTTGTATGTTTTTATATGTTTTTCATGTATTTCGAAGTGTTTCCTTTACGAGACCGGGAATCACAGTTCACCTCGCGACATTAAGCTCCAAGCCTTGAGAGGGGCCTGCGCCAATCATCGATCGACGCTTTGGGATCGCTATAGATCTCTGCATCAAATCTATCGCTTCATTCCACTGCTGTGACTCCAGCCAAGACACATCATCCAGTGCAAGAGTTCCATTCTTACTCAGCTTCGTAGAAGGACCACCATCCGCAGACACAAACAACAATGGACATGACCCAGCCGGACTTTGTCGGATGATGACCCAGCCGGACCCAGCAGCCGGACCCTCGCTGCAAACCCAGCCGGTCAACAACGCGCGCGCCTCGAAGAAGCTGGAGGCTCTCGCAGGAGTCCTGCCGAGCTCACAGCACCTGTGGCTCCAAAGGAGCTCGTTTGTCCTCCTATGAGCTGACAGGGACACAAGTCCCTTAGGTTATCAAGTTGACAAGGACATAAGTGGCCTGGCCACATGACTATATATACTATATACTTATCATACTTACATAGACGTCCATCATCCGCTGAAGAGCGCCCGTTACGCTTTGCTCCCTTTCTTTTGACGTTCATATCTTCATATCATTCATATATACATCATATACCGTAACCCTGCGCGCCTCAGTCCAAGGTCCACCTGGAGAACATGTCGAAAAGGGTGGGTGAGAGCCCGATAGTAGTGAAGTTGCATCTTGGAGTAACAGTTGGCCATTTGGTAACTTGAATTCTCCACTACTTAGACTTTCAGGTTGGAACAACACCAGGCTATGATTTTGCACACCTTCGTGTCGAGCCAACAAAGGCTTCGGTGGCTTGAAACGTGCGGCTTCTCTGCAACCTTCCAGCCCATATCCACCTGTGGCGGCACATCTGCATGTCCTGCCGTTTTTCGGCAAAACCGCTCCATTTGGACTCGAATAGAGAGGTAGCAACTCAAGAGGTCCAACATGATGGACATTATTTGGCACTCTGTAGTCTCACTAGGTACGATATCATGTCGTACCTGGTACCTCAAGGGTGGCCGCACCCTATGAGCCTTACGAGTCTTGGTGACTGAAAGAAGCAAGCATAAACATGTCTTGGTCACTGTGATCAACACCAATGTCACTGTGATCACGTCCGGAATTTGGTGACACCGCGGCATGTTGATGAACACTGAATCTCTCTGCACCATCTGGGTACACTGAATCTCTTTGGTCTCTTCATGCCCTCAAACCAACACAGGCACCAATTTCTATCCAGATAGAAGAACCTTTTTGAACGAACTTGGGATGATCGTTTGTTTGTCGTCGCTCAAGTTGTCGTCGTCGCTCCTAACAAAGCAGCACGAAGGCCCATGGATGGTTCCGCTCGAGGCAGCGCACAGAAATGAAGGCAGAAACAGTGTCCGCATCGGGATGTGTTTCGATAAATTTTGTGGAAGGAAATTGACTGTACATATACAATATATAAATGCAATATACACGCGAAACAACCATTTCAGGGCTTTTCAGCTTGGAAGCCTGGCTGTGAGGGATTCGTACCAGTTTGATCTTTGGCAGGCTTTTGGCGAGGTTCCTTCTGGCCAGCATAGTTTTTGGACAGCTGGAAGTCTGAAACTAACTACTTATTGAACTGTCCCAGCAATACCGCCTCCATCTAGGTTCTGGGACATCTGGGTGCGACTGAGACTCGTGCTACTTCATGTCTGGTGAGACAGCCGAAACGTACTGCGGGACAGCTGAAACGCATGGACCAGCACCACCTTGGCACTCCTTCACTTGCACTACTAAGATCAAGGTGCAGTTGGCTCTGCTGTGATACCACTCCCATGAGCATGCCCCAGATTTGTCACCTGACATGGACTACCCCAAGATTGATGATGCTCCAAACTCATTGTAGTTAAATGTATTTAAGTCGACATGAGCTCTGGCCAAGATTGTCCTTGTCCCCAAACAATGGATTTTGCCCAGTCGAGAACATATGATCCAAAAAGGACTGGGCACGAAGAAACATCTGGTAAAGGATCAATGGCGATTGCTAGTCTCCATATTATTGACGATGGTCTTTTTCTCAGTTTCGCTGCTTGAATCTCCATATTATTGACGATGGTCTTTTTCTCAGTTTCGCTGCTTGAATCCTCTCATTTGAGAGTCAGAAAACACTTCAGTGGCGCATAGTGGCGCTATCTAAGAGGCTGTATACAGTATAATTACATGTTTCACAGCATGTTCCACACAAATCACCTTTCGCCGGAGGCGGACTTTGTTGGGCCTTGCCACGGCCTCGCCCGTTCGCAGGCTAACCCGTCTCCTGGCCGTTCGCGGTCTGAAACTGAGCTTCTGCACGGCCAGCTCTCCAATGACGTGGCCCGTCATCTCTGGTCTTTGGTGCTCCGAGTTCATTCTGGTCACGTCGAAGGTTGGAACATCACTTGCTCTCTGGCTCTCCTGGCCACAAATGCAGCCTTCGCAGATTCGTGCGAATGAAACGCTTGACTGGTGCAACGACTCTCCGATCAAAAAGAATCCACAAACGGGTGCATAAAATTGCTCACAGATGAGGTTCCACCACCAACATTCCCCAACCAACGGGTTACTGTTGTGGAATTTGAAAGATTCCGCGAGAAACATCAAAGGTAGCCTCTACGAGAATGTCAGTCAGTTGAAGGTTTCCATTTGAGGAAATTTCACAAATCGCTACAATTTTCGGTGGGATTTCCATTGACATGATCCCTCAAATTTCTCACAAACATAGGCGTATATATACAGTGTATATAGTAGACTTCTTCCCGCAAATGAAACACACACACACACACATCAAACAGCACAACTGAACTAGACATGTGATTGAGTACTTACTCTGCTATCAGGGCTGAAATCCTGACATGACAAGAAATACTATAGAGATCCGATAGTGACTTACATCTGAGTTTCATACAGATGCAAACAGCATTCCATGCTTGAAATGAAAACACATGCTGGTGGGTCACCGATGGGTTCACTAATCATTATACGGCCTTCTCTGGAAACTAAGAACATTACGCTGGGATGAACACCTGGGTCAGACCTGCGGCGTCCGGACCTGCGGCGTTTTTTTGTTTTCCTTTTTTTCAGAGAGAGACTGAGAGAGACCGAGGTCAGAATCTCAGGTGAATCTCACCGAGACCGTCTCCAGTGCATCGTTGCAAAAAGATCGGTGTAGATCACTGCACACATTGTGCCCCCCCAACAAACATGTCCTGGCATTGTCTCTGCAGGTACTGCATCATCCGCTTTGTCAGGCCCTGAGGGACGCTCTGCGCGGCGGACCGTCGTGTTGGTCACTGGAAGGCTGTGAAAAATCGAGTGATCACGTCAGCGACTTAAGCTGGTTTCCACTGGCCCACCACAAACCCACACCACCAGGTTCCTAATTGCATCCCTTTTCTACAGGGAACCCAGCTTTTGATATGGTTTAAACATATTTAAACACATATCACGCTAAAACATGAGTTGGAAGCTGTACTTGGCAAGTTGCCAGCAAACCTGATACAAAAAGCTCAGCCATTCTATCTCTCTTCCTTCCCTGAGACTTTCTTGGAATGTCTGGAATTCCTTGCCAAACTGTCCACGGATCCTTCCAAAACTTCGGGGCTGCCGGGCCTGCATCTTCCAAATCTGGATCTTTAGCCTGTTCAGAAGCACTGGCTGAGAGGTGCAAATAGTGAAGGGAATTACATAATCCAATCATCCAATCCCAAAAGGTCCCAAACGCCACTGAGGCCCTTCAGGTCAAACCCGACTCATCCAGGCGCCAACTTATATATATGATATAAGCAACGCTTTGTTTTGACTGGGGTGTTCCCACTGACATGTGAAGATCTGCGTCACTGCATAACACAGAATTAGAGTGGAAGACAACATCACCACAGGACGAAGATTGCAGCCACAAAGAGGATTTTTTTGGGGGCTCAACGGGACACGGGAGTGAGCCATCAGGTGCATGCGTTTAGAGTGACTGCTCACGTGCAAGAAGAGAACCGAATTGAATGTGGGCATCAAATGCGGGCATCCGAGCATCCCACCACAAAGTTGACGATACGGTATAGCTTATTGTGTAAACCAACATTGTGAGGGAAGATGGACCCCTCGTTCATTCATCTACACTCTGACTCACACGACGCGTTTCACCGCCTGGAAGCCCCGCCGCCTTCTCTAACAGTCGAGGCCCAAGGACGGCGATCAGCGCTGCGCCGGGAGGAGCAGTGACCAAAATGCAAAGCACGGCCACCGCCAAGAGCTGTCGACCGAACCTGAGTGGTTCCCGCCAGCTGGAAAACATTTGCAAAGGGTTAGCAGATGTTAGGAGTTTCATGCCGGAACATTGGATATTTTTGGGTAGTACGGTAGCACCATGGTATATCACCGCGAGAAACTCCGCTGTCCCTATAAGCAGGTTCAAAGTTCACCACTTCGATGGGAGGTTTAATTGGGTTGTGAAGGGTTCGATCATGTTTGATCAAGAGTGGAAGTTCTGCAACCCAAGTTATCACCTGTGAACTCTGTGAACAAGGTTCACTTTGGTGACAGGGGACCTTATCTCAAGCAAATTGCAGCTGCCAAACAATATTTTTAAGGAGGGTAGACACAACTAACACCCATTTTGTTTGCCAGTGTTTAGTGGCCAAGGTGGACTTTCCATGGCTGTCCATCCTTCTCGTAGCTTGCGTATGGGGCTCAACTTGACTGACAAACTGGGTCAAACACACTTCACTACATATTTTCAACGACCGACTTGCAACAGCAACCCTTGGTTGTGTTGATCAACAGCATCAACCCCCCCTGTCAACATCAATATAACTTGAAGCATTGACCGCTTCACTCCTTTCGCAGGACCATCCTTCTTCTAGGACAACTGAACAACCTTGACCTACAGTACTGACTCTCTCTTCATCTCTCTTCATCCATTTCCCAGGCTTATCATCTGACGAACGGTGGCACCGGCTCAGCTCACCGGTGGCACCTGGCACGGTCACGTTCTGCTGGGCCCGAGGCACCGCTGCTCGGTGAGCGTGGTCGCTTCATCCAGCGCCAAAGCACCGATGGCGGCCTGCACCGTCGCCTTCGGGGTCCAAGCCAAGGCGGTGAAGAACTTCTCCTGGATGGTTGAAACCACACAACTGAAAGAAGAACAGGGTTCAAGAGCAACTCAGTCAGGCTTTGAAGATCTTTGACGTATATAGTGTTTCTTCAAACATGCTTTTCAACAGGTTGTCTGTGACCCGTGACATGCAAAAAAAAACACGGTTGGGAGCCTTGGCCTTATTCACCTCCAAAACAAAACAATCGTCGGGTGCATCGAATGCGTTGTTTGTCTTTGGGAACTTCACAAATGAACCTGTCGCGCCTTAGCGGGGAGACACAAGTACCTTGCAAAATCAACACCCTTGCGCTATGATCCTGCTCTGCTCCATCCCTGGCGCCTGGTACTTCATACGACGGAAACTCAAAGCCACAAACACGGCGCCGAAACGCACCAGGCCACCCAGGAAAATGATCAGCAACCCAGCTGCCACCGTCTCTGCATCTAAAGCTTCCACCTGAGGTCTGGGTCGAGAAGCGATTGAACAAATAACTGATGGATCCAGGATAGGAACCCGGGATAGGTGCTAAGTGTAGCGTATGATATAAATCCTATGAACTGTTCTTGGTTTGATACAGAAGGGACAGTTTCCCATGGTCCTACTATAAAACAAACCCGAAAGATGTCTGTGCATCTGGTGAAACTGTTGGCGCAGTGGAACCTTCATCTACATCACCCAAAACAAATCCACTGAATATACTATTGTTGTCATCGTCTAAACATCGATGTGCACACAAACATTGCATGCCATCCAACAAATTGGTGATTTGTGCAAGGAGTCCTGGGGGGATATTTGGTCGGGCCAAGCCCAGGATCCGTTCCCTTGGTCATGCGGAGTCTCAAGGGACTTCCTCCTTCAAGTTAACAGCTAACATATATAATCCCTTTTGAGCGTCCTTCACATTCTTCTAATGCTGCGTGGCTCTACAATTGGCTGGATCAGTGAGTTTTTGCGTTTCTCACCTCAAGCCGATCAACAATCCACCCAAACCTAGCAGACTTGGCAGGGTGTGATTCTATGAATTCCTGACCCTCATTCCGTTCCCAAGGCCACATCGACAAAGTCATACGTATTTTTTTTGTGGAATCGTGTTTATTAGCACACACAGACACACACTCTCGGGATAAAAGTACGTACGGTCTGATTTCATCAAGTCCTGATGAGAACCCAGTGAAAAAAAACGCCTAAGCAACGTATGCAACGAGGTTCAACCACCTCCAAAGTCCAAAGACCGAAGAGCTAGGTCTCCATGGCCAAAACTTCAAGGACATCAAACGCCCATGAGGTTTGAACAGGTTCGAGGAGAGTTCACCACGACAAAAAAGTTCCAAATTTCAAATGGAAGTTTTCATTGTTCAATATATACAAAGCATCAACTTGTAAATACGTGTCTCCAGTCTGTGCGCGAGACAACTGAATCTATATGTACTATAGGTAAACAAGAAAAAGGATGGAAAGCCTCCTCTTCTAGTGAGCGAGACGACAGAAACGCTCATAGCGGTAGTGAAACGGGAAAAGAATCAACAAACAAGTCCGTCGACAAAATCTGCCTCAAGTTTATGAGCAAAACAAAAGAATAGAATAGCTCTGTAGTGATAAGCAGGTGCACATCTATGGCCAGTGGATGCTTCCCTCTCTGATGCCTAGCTTCATTGGACAGAGTAGCATCATAGGGCTGTCCCTGCTAAATGCCAAAAACCTTGTGATTCCGAAGGATACCTTGCGCACACCCTTAGCCTTTGTTGGGTTGAACATCTTCCCTGACTGAAATCCTAGCCTTGAGATCTCGGATTTTGAGTAAGACCGAAGAGTGACCACCTTTATACCTACTTATCCTATTTATACTTATTCTGTTTCAGTCTAGTTTAGTACTTCATTGGGTGGTCTCAACGCTTCCGCCGGCGCACCAAAGCGTCTTTCCCACCGAGCATCCACGACGGATGCCCCGACTAAGCTGAAGAGCAATGGCTGTGCGAGCCTCGTTGCGATGGTTCGGCTGTCATCGACTGGTCAACAGCGAAACGTGGGCCTATGAGGACGTGAGTCAAAAGTGCACTCAAAGGGTAAGCGAGCATACCTTGGCCTAGGTCGACCATTCTGCTCTCTTTGCACGCACGCAGCATGCAGTATTTGGAAGCTTGGACATGTCGACTGTAGTTTGAATGCTGTGCAGGTTGGAGAGAGGATTCCGACCAAACCCAGTGCTTTGGAACTCCGCCAAGACGAGTGCATTTCAAAAAGGAGAAGTTGGCCACCTGGCCGCAATATTCGAGACAAACAGCACCTCCACAATGGCATTTCCGGCCTGCCTGGTCCAAAGGTCGGCGATGCTGGAAGAGACCGGCTTGGCGGCAGCACCCCAGCCTGCGGGCATCGCGGTAAGAGCCCTCTTTTTGGCATGTTCCAGCCTGCGATTGTCATGTCTTGTTCTCAAGCTTGTGAATGGCAGCATTATCTAATAAGTCCAAAACACCTTACAAACTAATACAAACCTAATATAATGGAACTATATTGAGCTCAAATAGGTTGAACATAACATAAGTGGTTCAGTTAGTTGGCGTAGATAGCGCGCTTGAACGTACCTACCGTGTACTTAACATAATAAACCTATATAGCGTGCGCTTACACGACTTATACAGACACAAAAACAACGTTTGGTTGCAAGCACCATATGTATGTTGTGTAGGATTCCCTTTGAGCTTTTCTTGATGGAAATCAACCCACATAGGAAGACCCTCGCACTGTGAGCGAGGGCTGTGCAGGACGGCTATCGACCCGCTGCGGCTGCAGTGGGTCGAAGCCGTTGCTTTTCCAATCGTTGGGCAGTCTGGGGACACCAGTGCCGGGCGGCTGTGGGAAACTCGCGCACAAAGCTGGGGGAACTCTGAGCCAGACAGTGGCTGTGAAACAAAGTCGGTCTACATATTCTACATGTTAGGCGAGATATCGGACAATTGTCGGACAAGCGACGGACAAACAGGCATAGAGATTTTGAGTACACGGATGTCGGACACAGGTAGCTAAGTAGAGCTCTTAGAGATCTGATTGGACGGGCGTTGGACATCATCGCACGGACTTGTGGGAGAAGTCGCTCGCGAGACTGTCTTGGCTCTTGGACGGTCGACGTGCCTTGTCGTGAAATCTGTCTCTTAATCTCACATGGCAGACATTGTGGAATCCCAGCCATCAACACATGAAAATAGGCATCGCTACTAGTAACCAGGGGGGGAATTACAAGTAACAAGGAAAAACATATGCTGGCCTTGTTTTGCTAGCGCGCCGCATAGTAACAATAAACCTAACTACATCAAAAACACAACATTTATTGGACCCTGCCCCCCCCAGTAACAGTCGCAAAATGCTTTCCCTACTAAACTTACTAAGAGAAAAAACACCAGAAATCTCAAACTGAAATCAGGCCACTTCAACAAGGTACCATCTTCAATTGTGATTTGAAGTTTGCAGGTTTAGAACCCTGTCATCTCATCTCATTCATCTCATCTCATTCACTCCCGAAGGCCCTCTCATCTCATTCACTCCGAGTCTTTCACCAACCTGATGTTGAGTTACATTGCACTGGGTTACATCTACTACCATTACTACCACTACTATTACTACTAGACTAGTACACCCAAAAGCTATGAATATATTATATAATAATATCATTCATATCCTTCATTTATATTGCATCATATGCATGGGCTGCATGGGCATGTCTCGCAGGAGACGCTCACATGGCTCATGGAAATTCTTTTCCCATGCCACGCACAACGTCGAAGAACCTGCCAGGCAGGAGACCCCCCAACCCGCTCAGACTCCCCAACCCCCTCCCCCAGGGCCACCCCCAGGAGTCCCAGGACCACCGGTGTCCTGATCCACCGTTTCCGCGGGGACAATCTTCGGAGCACCAATCCCGCTTTCAAAATCTCGTGCGCTTTCTCGTGCTTTCTCTCGTGCTTTTTTCGTGCTTTTTTGGTGCCTTTTCTCGTGCTTTTTTGGTGCCTTTTCTCGTGCTTTTTTGGTGCCTTTTCTCGTGCTTTTTTCGTGCTTTTTTGGTGCCTTTTCTCGTGCTTTTTTGGTGCTTTTCCCGTGCTTTTTCTCGTGCTTTTTTCGTGCTTTTTTGGTGCCTTTTCTCGTGCTTTTTTGGTGCCTTTTCTCGTGCTTTTTTTGGTGCCTTTTCTCGTGCCTTTTCTCGTGCTTTTTCTCGTGCTTTTTGGCGCCGGAAAAGCACAACTCCGGAGCCAAAATTTGACCGGCCAGCCCCGGATCCAGCCGGGCTCGGGCAGCCGCAGCCCCAGCCGGACATTTACTCTACTGGGGTGGATTTAGCAAGGCTGTTTGTTGTGATTGAATTGGTGTCGTGGTTTCTTCAATATCTCACCATCCCACTGAAAAATGATGCTGTCATGTCATATCAGCTTTCAACCTTTGAAACATGCAAACGCACACGACGTTTCTATGTTTTTGATATCCTATATCATAAACATTCAGAAATCAGAGAGCAGAAGGAAGGCAAGTGATGTCTCCTGCTTTGTACCACTCTAGCAGCCGATCACTCAATTTGCTAGATGATGTCATTCAGCGCTTCAGCTCCTTGATGGCAATGTTTCTTTTCTAGCGCATAGCTGTTCAAAGTGAAGTCGGCACCGTGTGTTTCAAGCTATAGGTTGCCATGTGGGCAGCTATCCAATTGTTGATGATGAAGCTGATGGCCATTTTGGCCGCCCATCGTGAGTGGGATGCTTCTGGAGATGGCAGTCCTCGTGGTTCCCGACCGACCCACAATGAGCCACCCCCAGGACCATCACCACCTCCAGGTCCACAGATGGAGGGGGCTGAGGGCCACCTCCACTTAGAGTGGAACGCCGGATACCCAGCGGCCCCAGCACAGTTCATTCCGTGCATTTTGCATGGTGGGCACTTCCAGACGCAGCCCATGTGTCAGTGGCCTGGTTGGCCCGGTTGGGGTTCCATGGTTCCAGCGCCAATGGTGACAGTACCAGCTCCAAATCAATCTTGCTGCCCGCCGGATCATCGTTTGGAAGAAGATACAGCGCCAGCGCCAATGCCAGGATCTGTGGATCTCACGGGCGACGATGACAAGAAGACAGACGATCCTGCAGCGCACCCGAATGGCAAAGAGGCGGAGCCAGCAGCAGCAGCACCAGGGCTCACACTTGGATTGCGGCCATGCAATCGCTGTCAGCAAGTTGCCTACTGTGGCAAGGGAATTTGCGCTAACGTGCAGTGTGACCCTTGGCCATTCAAATTCATTGATTTTCATATGTTTTTTTTGCTTCGGCTGATTTGCACGACATTTTGAATATTCTCGCTTCAGGATTTGCACTTACAATGGCAAGCTTCCAAGAAGCGCAAGAAGAACAATGATAAGAAGAAGCCTGACGGCTCCTACAACGACGCATCATTCTGGAAGGGCTCTCGGATGAGTGGAAAGATTGGAATGATGATGGTGGCAGCAGCGGCTCCAATGGTTATGGCAGGGGCCGCTGGACCTGGGCCTGGGTCGCCTAAGGCTCGGTGAGGCAGGGCCGGAAGAATGATTACAATGTGAGACTCTTGTGTGGAAAAGATCAATAAGCTGCTGCTACGCCGTCTTTGATTGCGATCTTTGGTTTGGAAAAGCGAAAACAGAAGGAAACCGCTTTCTGGCTCCCCTGATTCGAGTGGCTAAGTTTAAAATAGTTTCAAAAGGATGGCCCACGCCTCCTCCATCAATTGAAAATGAATAGTCTCCAGCGCAAGATCAGTTGAAGGAGGCTCCGCATCAGAATCCAAATGCCGCAGTGAAGGAGGCCAGGCTCGAAAGGACTCCTGCGCGCATCAAACTGTAAACAACTGAAGGTGGTCTTAGGACCTCCTACTGTTGCAGAAAATAGAGTAATCTCCTACATGCTGCATTTGTCATTTCTCACCGTCAGTTCACTCTATAATTGAAGAAGCCTTGCCCGAGGTGCGTTGCAAGCCTCAAGGTTTAACAATAAAAAGTAGCTTCCAAAGCTGAACATGGCGCCAAGACGAAAATGGCAGTGGATTGTCAGACGGTTCAAGCAGCAACCGCTGTTCGTGGAGAAACGTCAGCATCTTAGGGCTTTGTTTCGCATCCCGACAGACATGAATTTTTAAATTTTGCTTCTGCCATCCAAGGCGAGCGAGACTTGAGACAACTGGTCTCTGAGAAGCCAGGGGTCGATCCACGCATTAAATGGCTGCTAAGCCAAACTGTCGTCGCCTGCGGCTACTTGACCGGCGACAAGGCCAGGTTGAGTATGGAGAAACTAATTTGCATTGTTTGGCCGACAGGTGAAGGTGGCTGAAGGTTGCGCCATGGCCGAAGATTTAGAAGAGGAACTGGAAGCCACAAGTGGCCAAGAGCTTGCTGACGAAATGTCGGAATCCATGCGCAAGAGATGGCGCGCGGAAGACAGCACCTTAGATAATACAGCCGAGCCACGCAAGTTGAGGCGATGCAGCTCTCTTGCCTGAGTGGGTAATTTTGGCATTCTGCCTTGAGCACTTACTAGTTGTCTTAGCAACTAGTTGTCACTTGCAGCCGTGGGGGAAACAGTGACAAAATGTGCAGCCAGGATTGTTAACGGATAGGATCATACTGTTTGTCTTGCATCGTCACTTGCGGTAGGGGTTTGGGGTTCAAGTCGGCTTCAATAGTAAGCCATGGACGCAGAGTCAGAGAGCCACGCCGACCCAGCGCTCACTGCGGGCCTGGGTGGTTTTGACGATGCAGCTCACAAGCGGCATTGCTCCTTGAAGCACTGCCCTCGGTGCAAATTCATTTGCAACCGTGAGAGGTGGCTGAAATTATGTCCTTGGTTAGATACCAAATTTGACTTTGAGACCAGACTCTGGGGAGTCGGATGCAAAGTCTGCAACCAACTGCTTGAACAAAAGCCGGAGGTCATGCAACGGTTCAGCCAGCACAGGCACCACTTTGCACAGTATGCAGTGCGAGACAAGAATTTGAGCATGGACCGCTTCAAGAAGCACCAGGAGAGCCCAGCACACCGCACTGCAGCCCAGATGGGCAGCGATCCGTCTGCTGGCATTGGGCTTGAAGATGGCGACGGCAATGTGCCTACAAGTGCCGAATGGCTTGCCGTCCTGAAGCACACCGAGCCTAGCCGCTTGACGCTAGACGTTTCTTGTGCTGGAGAAAAAAAGAAATGCGCCATGATGCGGTACTGCCTTGCTGAAGGGCACAGAGCCAAGCAGCGGAAATTCCTGGCTGGAGCGTTGTGCATTTCACTTCAACAGGATGCCAGAGGAAATCGGTTCTTGCACCGCTTCAAGGCAACCAATGAGAAGCTCGAGGTCATGGAGGGCGTGATCCATTTGCAGAAGCAAGTTGGCACCGTTGATCTGCCAGGGGCTGTTGGCATTCGACAAGCGAGTGTGAAAGCTTTGGAAGCTTTCTGCACTACTGGTTCACCTCCAAGCTACGGTGGATTATTGCCAGGAGCCGGACAGGCGGCAACATTCCATGAAAGTACTTTCCGGAGCATTGTGCCCAGAATTGAAGCAATGGCCGCCGACGCGGCTGCTGACGAGCAACTTGCCCTACGAGAGATGGCTTCCATCGGCGGCCCGAGCCCAGTGGAACTGAAGGATACCTTGATTCAGACCCTTCCTTCCTTAAAGGCAGGTCTTTTTTTTGGTAAGTGGTTCCCCAACAGCTAGAAGCAGATTTGCTATTTAAGGACTCGGCTCGTCTTGAATTTTTCAATTCTTGCGCAGGTGTTGGCCAAAGACCGTGCGCATGCAGCGCAACGGTTGCTGTCAAGGCCATGGAAGGCCGATCCTTTTCTGAAGGACATTATTCTGCAACTGGTTGAGAAGCAGCACAGCGTGGCTCGGTTGATTGTGAATAGCCAACAGATCAAAGAACTCTACAATGACTTCAGGTCAAAATCGAAAGAACCTGTGAAGATCAGCAAAGCTGTCAAAGACTTGGCATGGGCACCACAGCGATACTCTAGTGAGGCAAAGGTCTTGGCCAGACTTGTCCTCACGTGGGATTCTGTGCTTGGCGTTTTGACAGCAGTTCCCACCATTCGGGGACCAAGGTCTCCTGAGGGGCAGGCTTGCCTGGAAACTCTTCGTTTCTTGGACCCTGAGAAAGTGCTTCAGTTGGGGATGCTAGCAGACAGCGCACTTGAATTGCACCGTGTCGTTAGATCCTTCGATGCAGATGACTTTGACGAAGCCGAGCTGCCTCAGGAGCTGGACCTCTACAGGTCCATCTTGGAAAGACTCTTCATCGATGGTTTGTGCCTTCAGGTTCCCGGAATGACTAAATTGATGATGGGCTACTTGGAGAAGCCGCGGAACCTGCTTGTCGCAGATGTGGCGAAAACTTTGGGGGGGACTGACCCACAAACCAACAAACAATGCCTGATCAGAATGTCGGCATATGTTGCAGTGGCGAAAAGTGTGATGGAAGGAGAGTTTCCAAGCTTTGAGCTTATGTCAAGCCTGCGCGCCTTCAGTGTCTCAGACGAAATCAAATCAACACAGAGACGGCAGAGCGGAGAGATCCAAAACTGTTTGGAGAAACTCGCTCAAGCCATCGGGGTGTGTGCAGCAACCCTGCAGTATGAATACGATCGGTTATACCCACTTGCTGCCAAATTTGGCAAACAAGGCCTTCGCACCTTTGAGGCTTGGAAAAAGGCAGTGGGCTCAGCTTCCAAGAGCATGGCATCCTACACCACCGAAGCACTAGTGCCGGCCCTGGCCAGACTTGGTGCTTGGTCTTGTTCCTCGTCTTCGGTGGAGAGAGGTTTTGGAATGGCGTTGGCAGCCAAACAACTTGGCCAAGGACAGGACGAGCACGTTGTGTCAGAGGAAAGCATCCTCATCATCCAACAGGACATTCTGCGAGGGAAGGCCGCAGATGAGTTGGACTTGAAGGACAACATCATGAGGGCCAAAGCCATCTGGGCATCGTGCTGCAGCAGGGTGCGCAAGAGTGGAGACGGCAAACGCAAAGCTCGCTGGGACAAAGGTCTTCCAAGGACAGCTGTTTGTGTCAAAATCGCCATTTTGTTCGGCGACTGTTGAATATCAATTCGTTTCTCTGTTTCCAGGAAAGCGCTGAAAGACGGGGAAGCAGGCTTTCTCCAGGGCCGCGAAATGGTCACGCAGCAACTTGCTGCGTCGTCCAGCTCCGATATTGCCGCTTTGAAGACAGAGAAGACTTCTGCAGCTGAGATTCTGCAATACTTTGGTGAAAAACAAATGAAGGAGATTGCATTTTCTGAAGCCAAGAAGAGCAAAGCTTTGGTAGAGCAACTACTCCTGAAGGTGTTGCCGCAAGACCAAATCACGCCAGAACTCACCGCTGCCGCAGAGGAGTACTGCAGGCGGGCCCAGCAAAACCAGAGAGAGAACACCAATAACCAGAAACTTGCGCAGAAGCGCGTCATTCAAAAGGAGGCGCGGTGGTGTCGTCAAGGGACGAAGCGGATGTTCTTAATAGTACACAGTACACATGTCTTTGTTGAAGTTCTTAGCTTATCCTTGCACCAGGCGGCCTGGACTGAAGAGGCTTTGATCTATGGCCCAGACCGGGGCGTCCCAATGACAGCCGCGCGTATTTTCGTGGCCAACGACCCGAACAACTGTACTTCCCACATGAAATTTGTGGGCGGCCTGCTGGGTGGAATTGTGGCGACGCCGCAGTTTGTGGAGAGCAGGGGCAAAGATGGCATTTGCGTTGCATATAAGGCTGCCATCGTCACTGTGAGACGGGTCTTTGTGACACCATTATTCATGGGTAGCCACACTGCAATCTGCAGAGATCTGTTGGAGATTTTGAAAATAGCAGAATGTAAATGGCAGCTTATGCGCGAAGCTGAGCTGGACCAGTTTGTACAGAAATTGACTCAGGCCAAGGCGCGCCAGGTTATCATTTTCCACGGTCCGGCAGAAGCTGCCCTGTTTCCAGCAAGCACTCACCGGTTCAGCAGTGTAGAGGAAGCAGTTGTGGATCCTGTCATTTGTTCTGTGGATTTGTCTCGTTCTCGAACGGGCATTTGTCCTGCTTACTGAGCATGCACCAGACAGGGGGGTCGAGCAAAAGGAGCAGCCAGTGCCGTCGATGCAATCATGGGGGCAGGAATGACATTCAGCGTTCAATCCTATTTCAGTTTCTGCATGTTTCAAGCAGCTACCTAGTTTGTCTTCCCTAGTTAGCTTCATTGATGTTTGAAAATGTCACCTGCAGCCTTGAAAGGAACTCGACTCGTTCACCAGTTCTTAGACTGTCGTTTCAGCCATGTCCAAGCTGCTGCTGGCTTTGCTGCTGGTGGTGGCATGCGGAGTGGAAAATCAGAAAGCTCCTGAGGACAACAAGGAGAAACAGCCTGACGCTCCACCACAGCCAAAATTACCTCCTCAGACTGAGGCAAGACCATGGCGCCAAGCTCAGGCACAGCCAAAGGTGCGTCAGGTGCTACCTCCTTGCTTTGCTCAAATGGGGCAACCAATGGCGTGGCAAACGCCTGTCATCGGGCAACAGCCCGCCTTTTCTGGGCAACCATCCTTTCTTGGGCCAGGATCCTTCGTCGGGCAACAGCCCGCTTTTGGGCCACAGACTTTCGCTGGGCAACCGCCCCTTCTCGGGCAACCAGTGCCGTGCGTTCAACAGCCACAGCAAGTCCAAGCCGTTCAACCACAACAGCTGCTTCAAGCGCAGCCAGGCGTGGGTGCTTTTACAGCGGCTATGATGCCGCCCACCAGTGCCATTCCACAACCAGTCATGCCTTCACAGTCAGGGACTCCTGGTGCAGCAAGCCCGGCAAGTGACTATGATCATGACGATGAAACCTTCCCTACAGATCTCGTCCATTGCCGCGTCTGCAAGAAGAGGTCCTACGCAGAGAGTAGCGCGGGCTGCATCAACACTGACTGTGTAACTTGCCACTGTTTATTTGTTTTTGACAGCTTGTTTGTTAAACGTGCTTCCAATTTGACCCAATGGCAGCATGTCTTTGGCAGCTCGTTTCTTCGAGGCACTACAGCAAGAAGTGGTGAAAAGGAAGAAGACAAACCGCGGTACACAAAGGCAAATTTACTTTGCCCGAGTGCGCGGCTACCCCAGTGGCTCCAGCTCTTCTAGCTCTTCTTGGCAAGGTCGTCCATGGAAGAAAGATACTGACGGGGATCAGAATGACGGCTGGAATAATAAGAATTGGTGGGACTGGCAAGATTGGTGGTGAGAGGCGGCGCGCTGTGAGATGTGAGCTGTGACCGTTTTCTTGTCAAAGAAAAAAGCGATGCAGGGCTAGCTTCTTTTTCACCAAAATGGAACCGCAACCAGTTAGCGTCGTGAAGGAGAGGAGTCTTGCTGACTGAATGGTAGAACATTCCATCCTGCGCATTGAAACACACAAATTATGTTAAGCCACGCGTGAAGGAGGCTTTAAGACTCCTACATGTCTTTGAAATTCACAAGTGAAGGTGGCTCTTTCATTTTTTACTCGCCTCCTACGCGATATGGAGATGAAGGAGGTTTCGCGACAGACTCTTACATAGCCAGCTTTGTGAAGGAGGCTTATGTCTCCTACGCTTGGAACGCACGAAGGAGGACTGGATACAGACTCCTACGTGTTTCTTAACGAAGGAGGACTGGATACAGACTCCTACGTGTTTCTTAA